TAGATTATCGTCTGAATTATGCAAAAGTGAAAATGTCACTGACATCTCATTTTTACAATTATATTTGTCAAAATTATATGAAAATATCTTAAAATACGAAAGAGTAAATTTATTCAAAAAGAAATCGCCGTTACCTACAACCGGTGCCACCCGATGAGTTCGGAATCTTGTGCATCTCTTCTGAACGGCGTCCTTTTTGAAGTTGGTGAACACTGCCATAATCCTTGCCTTCGGTTAAGCTTTAGTCTTACAATGAGTTTTGTTGGTGTCACGCCTAACTGTGCTCTACACGTAATAACCAATGAATATGTAAGGCATGATGTGGTGGCAGAATTTGTCTGAGACCCAAAAGTGGGTTCTCCTACTTGTGTGGCATGATGCAGAGTCCTGTTGAGAGACATAAATTCTTCCAGTCGCTACCCTTTTGACTGGTGGCAATACGTCACCATCACTAGTGTTCATGCCGAACATCATGATGTCGATTTGTTATATGATTCAATTCTTTCTGAATTGTGATCAGATCGACACACAAACACACGGAATTGTTCCTGTTTAAGCTTCCGGTAGGAATTCCAAGTAGAAGAGAATGTCATTTTCAAAATTCTTGTTGTGTGCATTGCGTCATGGTGCTCTTTTTCTCACAGACGGTTCAAACCTAAACCTATTAATCTGTAGAGTCGACAAATTTAAAAAAAAAATACATAAATAATTAACGCACCTACGCCAAAATGTAAAATGTCGAAAATATAACCATCACAAGTTGTATATGTTTTTCTTTTGCCAGTTAGGTATCACTCCATCGCAATTTGTTAAATTTGACTTATTTTTGTATTCTCATTAATACGCGAATGACTCCATACATGCGTAAATGATTATTTCAAATATAATGTATTCTCAAACTTCAAATATGTTAATTAATTGAATGCACGTAATTCTTCTGAATATATATATATATATATATATATATATATATATATAGATAGATAGATATGTATATATATGTGTGTGTGTTTGTTTTTGTTTGTGTTTGTCTGTTGAAATATATTCTCAGATATTTGTGAAATTAAAAGCATAAAACAAGTTATATTTGCATTCTTTTAAAAAGATATATTTACATTCTAGGAAATTTACAGAGTACAAATTTTAATTATAGTTGCATATATTCTCATAGATGTAGATTCTATTTTCTCTCTGTCTGTCTCTCTGTCTTTCTCTCTCTCTCTCTCTCTCTCTCTCTCTCTCTATATATATATATATATATATATATATATATATATATATATGTGTGTGTGTGTGTGTGTGTATTTATATATATATATATATATATATATATATATATATATATATATATATATATATATATATATATATATATATATATATATATATATACCTGTATGTTTATGTGTTTGTGCGTGTGTACAGGCATACATAAAACCTAAATATATATTGCATAGAAGCGAGGATAAATTAATTTTAGTCGCCACATCCTTCCATACCTTTGTTAATTGACAAATATTTCACAGCCTTACTTAATTATTAAAAAATCTATTATATAAAAACCTACTTCCAAAAGATTAAACCGACTTCCAGAATTAGCATTAGATGAACTTGACAATAGAGTGAAAAAATGTAAAATAGATTTTAGATTCACTGAAAAAAGAATGGGGTCAATTATCAAACTTATGCTTTGTGAAACATTTCCAGTGAATGCCCCAAAAAATGTGCTGTAGTAATCAATCTAGAATTTAAACATGAAATGCTATTTCTTTTTGCCATAATAAAATTTCTAATACAGAATCACGTCTCACTTGTTGTTAGGCTTGTATAATATTTTTCTCTTATTCACAATTAAAAACAACTCTTTTTGCGGCCAATTTTTAGAAACAATTCCTAGTGTTAGTCTCAAACGTTTGAATTTAGTGTATGTGTGTGTGTGGATGTTTAGAGATTGTCAAAATAGCTAAATTATTTCAAATTACAAAACAGATGACTTATGCTTAAACGCCTTCCATTTTTGCACAACAGAATTTTTATTTATATAATGCCAGCATTTCTTCCGGTGTGACCTCATGATCAGGGTATGAAAATATATAGGAGAAAACGGTTTATTTCAGATGGATTTGTATGAATGTCACATTTCGTGTTATTAATATAAACGAGATTTTTAATGCGAAATGTTATTATATTTAATCAACTTTTTAAAAAGAAATAAAACAATTTCTAAAATATTCAAAAAAGCTGTAAGACATAAAAAAGCAAATCCAACAAAATATTTTGACAAAAATGTAATGCGCAACTCAAATGAAATTAAATTGATACAATTTAAAAAAAAATATATCTGTTTTAATCAGTCGGTCTGGAAAGAATTTGTAAAGATTTAGTTCTTGTCGCTACTGTTCATAGCAAGTATGGTAGCGTTTTGAGATATTATCTGCGTAAACTGACGTTAGTTACAATGACTTTGAAATGAATTCGGAAACACTGCCTTTTTGTCTTCATTTTTTTTTCTTTTATTGCTTAATTGTTCGCGCTTGCACGATAGCTGCGGGTGATACAGAGCAGGAAGTGAGGAACACGGTGGTTCCATTATCCGAGTCTTTGCTAGTCACGAACATGTACTGTCATGCTTCTAATTTTGGGCTATTTCAAATATGAAATAGAATTCCTTTTTGCGATCAATTTCTTATAGATTATTCTGGGAACTGGGCAAATTGTAGGCTTTCAAAATAAAAGTAAATGTCAATGGAAAAAATTGAAAACTATGTAGATGTTTGCGCCGGAGAGATATATAAGAAAATACTTAGTTGCTCTTACGGGGAGAGATGTATACGTTCTCCTGACGTGTCACCCAGTAATATCTGTATTTTCATAAATTTTCGTTATGGATACATAATGGGTAATATAGTGAAATTAAATTAAGGTTATTGCGAAGAAGCTGCCATCTAATGGATAAATATTGATTTCTAAGAAAAATGGTTAACGTTTATTTTCAAAATTAACAAGCAAAAACTATGTATGTTTCTCAGATGCCTCTTAAAATATTTGTTTACGATGTGTGTATGTGTACATACGTAAGAGATTAGAGAATTAAGCTGTAATTTTTTCCAAATAAAACTACATCGAACGCGTGTGTATCGATTTGTGAGTTAAGTGCTCTTAATGTTTGGTGACAGTAGAGATGGGAAGAAATGTGTACACATTTATGCACAGATACATTCATTTGCTTACATATACAGAAAAATATACATATCAGAATTAACACGCAGACACATACATATACACAAGAGGTAAAGAAAAGTGGAAAGAAAATTAGAAAGCTTAATATAATAATTGGAATAATATTTTCCTTAAAATGTGACTTAACGAAAAATATTTGATATTTAGGACATGGAAATTTGAAGTATATTTAATTTATTTGCCAAAGTAAATGATTTTATATATAGATGTGAGACTCTGTACTAAAATTCATTAGGACGTAGCCAAGTTGAACATGCAAGCAACATGAAATGAACAATGAAACCAATACGGTTACTATTTATTTTCTAACAATGAACATTTTTCGAATATGGAATATATCAACAGCATATTTATCTACAGCTTTTCAAATTAAAAAGAAGATGGTTAAAATTTTACGCTTAAAAGTAGAATGATTACAATGTGTATTCAAACTCTTCCTTCGTGATAAACCGAGATACCAATTTGAATAGCCGAAGGTATTTCTGTATCTATCTATCTATCTATCTATCTATATATATATATATATATATATATATATATATATATATATATATATTAAGGCAAATTTCAAGTACTGATGCTGAAGATCATTAAAAGATTAAGGCTACAAATATGAAATATATTTTTTTAAAATAGCTGCATAAACGATGTTTTTAAGCTGCAATTTATATTCAGATATACGAATAAATGAATGAGGATGTAAAACTTCATTTGTAATTTCTTTATATCCGGAGTTTCGTAATAATCTTGGGTATGGAAAGAAAATATAATCTTACAGATTATTTTGTAAACTAGTGATTTCAAACAACATATTTGTTTTTATTTTTATTTTTTTTTTTTGCTAAAAGAACCTATGCTTTACAATTTACAACATAATTAACAAAAGGCACTACATCGTCTCATTTCTGTGTATGAACAGAACAATAAAAAGAAACGGTTTGAAAAATCTAATCTCAACGAATATACGCACGCATATACATTTTTTTGTGACAGTTTCACGAGGAATCTATTAGTTCACAGCCTGTGACTTTTTTAATATTAACAATCCTATATATATATATATATATATATATATATATATATATATATATATATATATATATATATATATATATATATATATATATAAATATATATATATATACACTGGATTTATTTTGAATCCGAAATTAAGTTCGAATGTGCAGCCTAACCGACGTAATGAACACTGTTTAAAAAATGGGGCATCTATTTCAAATACGAATTGACGCCTACAATATCGATTGAAGTAATATATATATATATATATATATATATATATATATATATATATATATATATGTGTGTGTGTGTGTGTGTGTGTGTGTGTGTGTGTGTGTGTGGAAGTGATGGTATAGCAAGCAGAAGTTCAAGGTGTTACAAAGTATGGTCGTGCTGGACTTGGTCAAGTTGAGAGGGAGAGATTCTGGTCAGAGGCCAGTAGACAGGAGCAACGCATGTTACAGGAACAGGGAGTTCGAAAACTCGAAGAGGAGAGACGTTTAGTTCGGACTGTCCAGCAGGCTCAGCAGGGTCGATTGCTTAACTGGGAGGATATTGTGAATGTTCAGATCACTGGGTCTGATTGGTGGCATCTAGGCGCAGGACATTTGAGGTTACTCATACAGGAAGCAATATGATGGGGCAGCATTACCGGCAAATTTGAAGATATGGGGAGTGCAGGTGTCACCCTCCTGTCGTTTGTGTGGTGCTTATGGAAAACTGCGCCACATACTGTCAGCCTATCCAATGGCGCTACAGAATGGCTGGTTTACCTTCAGACATATCTTGGTTCTGGAGGTCGTGGCAGCAGCTGAAAGAAATGCTAGCATACCCTCGATGAACCTGCGAAGGGTAGCCTTCCTGAAGCAAGGTGTTTCTGTCACAAGGCAGAAGACCAGGTCGGAAAACACAAGGAAATGGAGAGTGTTGGTTGATGCTACACTGCCAGTGAAGGTCATTGTATCTGGTCTGAGACCAGTTCTGGTTTTAGTTGATATTGAGAAGCAACATCTGTTGTTTGGCGAACTGACAGTAGCATAGGAAGAAGGGATTGAAGAGGAGCATAAAAGAAAGTTGCTTTGGTATGAGGAACTGGTGGCTGAAGTCCGTGAGAGAGGATATGGCTATACCCTGGTGTCATTTGTTGTTGGCTGTAGAGGATTTCTTGCAGCCACTCTAACGAGATCCTTCAATTGTGCTGGGATCCAAAAGCCGGATAAGATGATAAAGGCTTGTTGGTGAAAAAGCTATGGAAGGCAGTGTATAGATTACCCATAAATTCTTATCGAGTCGCATCCAAGTAACATAGACCGGTTGCAACGTAATATCATACAGCTGTTTCGGGTCCACCGTGTGGAGATTTACTGAGCGTAATGGGCCAAAACTTTGATGAAGCACGGTGCTCAGCAGAAAATTGCAGCTGGTCTGGAGCACTTGATGTGTACTTGTGTTATATATATATATATATATATATTGGCGATAGGGGTCAGGGCTTAATTAAGCAGGTTAGCAAGTCGGTTTCCGGTTGTTTCCCATCAGTTGCTTTACGTAGCATGTTTCGAACTAGGTCTGCGTTTCCGTCTTTTCGCAAGGATGTATTGCCCTACATCAAATTGAGTAATTTAGTATATGAATTTAATTGCCAGTGTGCTGCTGGTTATGTGGGGCGGACAACCTTGCATTTGCAAACTAGAATCAATCAGCACGTACCTTCCAAAATACGACTTGGTAAGATAGATAGAATATGCTATCTTCCCCCCATGAATATGGAATCGGCTATTGCTCAACATTTAGTTGAGAATATAGCCTGCGCCAAGTTGTTTAAAAAAGAGTGGTTTAAAATTATTCATACAGCCGATTCCAACAACATTTGATGATTTTGGAATCGGTCTGCATAGGATTAAGGAAACCTTCTCTCTGCCGGCAGAAAGAATTTGTAATGTCTCTTAATCTGTTGGGGGATATTTTATTTTAACTGTCCCTCGCTAATTTATTTACACGATTATTTCCCCTCCCCTCGTTTCAAGTATATATACTTGTTTGTTATTTTAGTGTGTTTCCCCCTCTTTTTGCTCTTCATTATCGTTAATATTCTTTTCGCTGATCCAACGATTGTCGCCTGATGAGATGTTGGCTGAAAAAGGCCCTAGACACTTTTAAAATTAAAATCAATGCATTCCTTGTTTTTAAAACTATATATAAATGTTGTACCTCCAAACATATGTATATATATATATATATATATATATATATATATATATATATATATATATATATATATATATGTGTGTGTGTGTGTGTGTCTGTGTAAACGTATGTATGTAAGTACAATTACGCGCGGGTTTGAAGGTGATAAAAATATCTGGTACCCGATATAATTTAACTTCGACAACATTCACACAACAATAAGTTACTCGATGCTACTAAATGTTTCAGAGCCCTGGGAAACATCAGTGACAAATGCGTGACTGACAATTGGTATCTTCATGGAACTTCTAATAGCATAGGACTTTGCAGAACAGGTATATAATTCCTTACGTAAAAATGAAGTAGTAGTTTTTAAAAACCTCGCTTCTATATTTAAATACAAATTACTTAAAGCTACAGTTGTCCTTCTTCAAAAATGACTTTGGTCTCGCCAGGAGATAAGACGATCCACGAAGTTGCGAATCTACGAAGCCATGGTCAGAAAAATTCTTCTCTATGGTTGTGAGACCTGGCCACTGCGAAGAGAAGATCTTTATAAGCTTGAGGTCTTCGATCACTACTGCCTCCGCCGTATCCTGCGCTTGCGCATCTCCGACCGGATCCCCAACTCGTCCAACCGCGCCAGATGCAACATTCTGGGCATGTAAGAAACTCTGCTTAACAGGAGACTCCGGTGGTTCTGGCACGTGCTGTGGCGAGCTGCTGATGAGTTCGTCCGTAAACTGGTGGCGCCAAACGCACCCACTAGTTGGAGGAAGCGTGTAAGTGGTCAACACAACACGTGGGTCGCAACGGTCAAAGCAGATATGGAACTCGTGTCCTGTCCTCGCGTATTCGGGGTCCGACGCTAGAATCCCGAATGGCTTGATCATGCCGTCGATTCTGCTGCCGATCGACGGGGCTGGATAGCCTTGACGGGCGATGCGGTTAATTCAATTGGAGGCGGCTCAACCCACCCCGGGAGAATGCCGTTACAAGACAAGAGAGAGAGGCAGAAAGATTAACAACTTCATCCATGCAAAGTTTAAATATTTATCATAATTTAATTTTGAATTGTATGTATATAATCTGTATTATATATATATATATATATATATATATATGATACATACATACACACACACACACATACATATATATATATATATATATATATATATATATATATATATATATATATATATAAATGTAGACTAATATATGCAATATATAAAGCTGAAAATCAATGTGTATATCCGCTTGATGTTCGGACATAAATTGTAACTAACTTTTTAAATATACCCGTGTGAAAATCTGACATAAAATATAGGTATTAATTAAATTCGTTTTTATGAGCGATATCTGTCCTTGATAATCTCATATAATGGTCAACCAAGCGTATGTCTTGTGTCCTGTATACAAATAATTCCATAGACAACGTTAAAAATACGTTTGCTTTGTTTTTATTTCATAACATTTTTGTATTTGGCTTTTTCAAATGATTTGCTGCCATATATTTGGTGGACATTCCCAGTCTCGGCAGAGTTAAAAAGACTCTCTGCGTCCTTGTCAGGAACAGTTTTCCACCCTACCACCACTTTCTCACAGACAAAACGTTGCAAGCTTCTACTGCGCTAAGCCTCGTCCCCATTTAACGTCCTCAGAGGGACAAGATTCTTTAATTCTACATGTTCTAAACATCACAGCTAAGACAAAACATGTAGCCAACCACCATCATTCAACTTGTATTCTATTGTCGAGATTTAATTTCCACTGAAACAATTTTCTTCCTACTAATCACTGTTTATGAAACCGATTCACAAGTGGATGCTTTCTCCATGACATGTTAATGTTTAACTGTTATGTTCCCCAAGTATCCGCAGAAAATTTGGCTCATATGTAAACTTCTACCTCTACTGGCTCTAGGGCCTTTTACAATTTGGTTATTATTGTAAAAAATATATATTCCTTTAGTTGTGAGATTTTCTACTTAAATTGCTTACTTATTTAATTAAATTGATTCTCTGAAAGAAAAGTTGCAACTACGACATAATATAGATCACTGCTTGAGAACAATTTGAGGAGATCGCTTTAAAAGTGGAAGTCAGTAGTTTTGGCCTACTTAAATGTATCTCCCTGAAATGTAACATGTTTTACATATAAGTTCATATATTTTGTGAAGAAATAAACTTAGTCGATTTGCGTTCTTTATATTAAAGTTATCGACTCTTCACATATATAGAGAATTATATATAATAAACTATTAAAAACATAAATGAACAGCTTTTATCTGTAGAAATTTTGTCTAAAGTTTCTTACCTTTTATCCCGTATTGTTGTTTAATTCCTTGATTCTAATGCTCAATAAATCGAAACAAATCCAAATAAATTGCAATTGTAATCATTATATATATATATATATATATATATATATATATATATATATATATATATATATATATTATGAATTAATTTGTTTTAAAAATATGTTTTTTTCGCTAGACAGTTCTAACCATGTTTAAAAAATGGAAGGTGAAAGCTCGAATTTAATTCTGTAATTACATTAAAGACATTAGTTCCATTTCATCCTCACTTGAGGATGAAATGGAACTAGTGTCTGTAATTTTATTACAAAATTAAATTCGAGCATTCACCTTCCATTTTTGAAACATGGTTAGAACTGTGTAACGAATAAACATATTTTAAATCAATTAATTTATAACATAAGTGCGCTGTAAATTTCCATTGAGCACTATTTTGTAAAAATAAAAAAATATATATAAGAACACCGGATTATATATATCTTACTGTTTATATATATATATATATATATATATATATATATATATATATATAACGTGACGTGGCTGCCCCAGGCTCTGATCCTTTGGTCACGGTACCAGGTGTGACGTGATCCCCCGGTCGCAGCGCCGAGTGTGACGTTCTATCCTGATCTACCACGGCGCCAGTTGTGACGTCCCTAAACAGCACCAATTGTGACGTCTTCGCCGCAGCGTCAGCTGTTCGCTCCTCGTCGCCCCGTCCGGGTGTCGCTGCTACAAACGTGACGTTCTAACCCTTTGGGATTCGGGAATCTGGTTAGATTGATACCAGCCTCGCCGTTCCCAACCTGCTTCCAACGCCTGGTTACCGGGGTAACTGCACTGATCTCCAGTCTGCCTACCCACGTTGTGAATTGATCTTAGACAGACGAGATCAAACAGGGGTTGGGGCCGTAATGCAAGCTGAGTTCAACGGGGGTGATAACACACAATTATGTATAAAAGAGAAAAAAAATGAAAACTCACAAAGTCCAAAGTATCAAAGAAAAATGTAACAAACTTTTTATGTCTATTATTTTCGGTACTTCAAGTTGTCTGCTCTCTAAGAAATTTGTGTTTCGGTGTGTCTTTGGACGAATGTCGAAAAAATTATTTCTGTGGTCTGATTCTATGTCGCTCTTCAAACTACTTGTTCTTGGTTGAAGAAGAGTCCAAAAGTGTGCGTGAATCTTGGTCAGCTATCTTGATGCGGTTTCAACACTGGGCACTGATCTCTGCCTGCCGTCCGGGGCTCAAAACTTCTCGCCAGGGTCCGCGGCTGAACTCAAACTGATTTCTGTCTGGTGGGGCTTCGTTTTTATTGACGACGTCAAAACTGGGGTGGGTCTCTCGGCGCCAGGGGTTCTTCGATAATTCTAAATACGTATCCACCCTTCTTATTTCTGGTTAGGTATTTTTCACTCTTTTCCATTTTTGGTAACTCTTTTCTCACTCCCACTCTCATACCGTGTTTCTGAGGGGCGTGCACTACCTTCCCCACTTCTTCATATCGGCTTCTCACACTTACACTCTGATAGAGGCGTCGACAGATTTTTTTTAGTGCGTCACGGGACCGCTCTCGGCCAATGAGGTCCTGGTCGGGTATCTTTCCTCCTCCTTCGTGCGTCATGTGATCCACTTGGCCAATGACGTCTTAGTCGGGTATCTTTCTTCCTCCTTCGTGCGTCATGTGATCCACTTGGCCAATGACGTCTTGGTCGGGCGTGAACAACCCGTGGCTTTGTTTTGGGAAAGAAATACCTTGCTTAACTAAAAAAAAATTAATTAAATCGCCCTTATCATGAGCGGCCGATGTGACACTCTTGGTTTTAACACGTGGCGTTTGTCAAGCAGTTTATCGCTAATTGGACATGGCCTAAGAAAGAAATTTTTCTAGCCTACCTGGCGTCTCTAAAGCAAAAATAAAAATATTTCATTTTTCCTTTCGGCCATGTGTTGATAACAAAAAAAAATCTTTATCATCACAGGGCAAAGTTTATTCTGTCAAAAGAAAAAAAAAATTAGCCAGTGAAAACTTCTTGTGTGGGATTATTTAATTCTTTACCCAGGGAAGACTGTCTGTGTTTCGTCAATGTTCAACAATGGATTTCTTCTTTTGGTGACATCCATTGATAACAAAATTCCATTTTTCGTGGACAAGCGGAAATCGGTCAACGCTTGTTCGTAGGTGACCTAGATATTTTCGACATCTGATACCTATCAACTATAACCTTTTTCCTCCTCATTCCGTCTCTTAAGCCATGTGTGTGTGTGTTCGCCTATGACCCGTCTCGTATTATTTTTTCTTTCTTTTTTCTTCGTTTTCTCTTTCTTTCTCCCAAATCGCTTGAATGCAAAGAAAGAATTATTCTTAAAACCTAAAATATTTTTCGGCCTTAAATAATTATCAAATGGTTGATAAACCGTAAAAAAGCAAATCATATATCTATAAATATTTCTTTCAAATCGTCAGGATGCATGGTGCCACATATATATATATATATATATATATATATATATATATATATATATATATATATATATATATATAACTTGTGCGTGTGTACTTCGAAACAATCCCCATTTAAAAATATTTATTAAAGACAAAAGACAACATACTGCGTTAAGCTTTCCATTATTTTTTTTTTTCTTCTTTTGATCGAATAATTGTTTTCTGTTCTGGAAGCAGAATATGTAGAAAATGTTCCAATGATCTGTAATTCCTAGCGATCTCGGCTATATATTTAGCCATTTTCAAGTTTGATATTATTTTCACTCTATAACTGGATGTATGGATTGTGTGTCTGCTTTTAAAGTTATAGGCATATTTTCTTTTCCGAATACAGTGTGTAATTTGTGGCAGTGTTCGTTGTTAGTGTGTATATATATATATATATATATATATATATATATATATATATATATATGAACGTGATTTAAATGGATATTCATATTAGAGAAGATGGTCAGTTTTTTATTTATTATCAAGCAGAATACTTATTTACATCTACCAACATGAATATTCGAGAAATGTAATTCAAACATATGCACAACGCCGGCAAGATTCGAACGTCCGTTCCCTAGGGGAAACCGTCATTAGATCTGATGTGTCTAAGACCACACGGTGACGTAGGAGCACCTGATCAAAAATAGCCCGAAAATTGCTTTTGAACACATATCTTTCCGATTCTCAAAATATACTTATCTGCTCAGTTTCGTGACATAACTTAAACAAATAAAGTTTTTTTGTTTTTGTTTTTTTTAGGAAATCGAATAAATCCGACGTGGTTTTAAATGGATACAATCTTTGAGAAGTTGCTTTGTTGTTATTTATTTAATAACAAATACGTTTATTCAATTCATACAGATTAATAAATAAATAAAAACATAGCATGAACTCAAATAAGAACACGTATATCAAATAACGTTTAAATATATTAAAATATGTGGAATTTAATACCCTTCTTGATATATATATATATGTGTGTGTGTGTGTGTGTGTGTCTGTGTGTGTCTGTGTCTGTGTCTGTGTGTGTGAGAGAGGGAGATTTAAAATTAATGAGATCAAAACAA